AGGTATAGGAATAGGGGCCGTCCTGTGCCCCTAGTCAGGGCATGTTGAATGCTGAAAGGAGCATTATCTGCAATTAGCTCAAACTTTTTCCTTGCTTTCTTCAGTTCCACTTTTTCTCAGGAGTCTGAGGTCTAAACTAACTGTCACCTTCTAGAGATCTCATTTCTTTTTGATATATTGTCCTTTGCTGCTTTGTGCACTATTCAGAAAGGGAAACAAAAAACCCAAAGTGGTTAGATTAAAAAGAAAGTAGGAAATGAAAAACAAAATACCGAGAATTTACCCCATTTTCATCTCTGATCCTTTGACTGAAAGGGCATCTTTCAGAGTGGTGTTTCTTCTGGTTGACGGCCAAAATGAAGGGGAAAAAAAAGTCTCTCAGCTTAACTTGGTAGAGCTTGTCTGCCTAACATTGCAATTGGGAAACTTAGTTACTACTACACACTTACCATTACAAAACAGACCAAAAATTTACTGCTATTTTATTTTGTTTATGGTCGTTACAGAAAATTAACAATGTCCTTTTCTTTAATCCGATTCCTCATGTCATGCCCAGCTCTCTGAAGAGCACAGCCTAACACCAGGTGTGTGCCAGTAGATCTGCTGACCTGATTTTGCAGTGGGAGCTTAGCAAAGGATCTTTCCTGGGCCGCTGTTAGTTTGGGATATTTATTCCAGCTGGTTTCGGTGGCGGCAGCGGTGTGTCCTGAGCAATGCAGCAGATACACAGCTTTACAGCAGCACGTTCACCACCAGCTAGGGACTGATCCCGACCCCAGCAGACTTTGGTGCCCTTACGCAGAAGCAGCGGCTTGTTGCAGCTTATCTACTATCGCAGTAAGGACAAAACCCATCTTGTTTCATGGTACTGAATCTCCAACCCACAGCCTACTCCTGCTGTAGGACTACAGCCCTCTGGTGGTATCTAACCCCATATTTTGTGAAGAGCTGCATAACGTTATAGCTAAAACTCAACTTTGGGCTCTGACCTTCATGGTATTGCCTGGAGGGAAAGGAATATCTCTGGGGGAAAAGTCCAAAAAGCAGGGTGCGAGTCAGCATCTAGCTGTGATGAATCGCACTGGAAATCACCCACCAGAGAATAATTTCTGAAGCAAATACGAACGCATGCAAGAGTGGTTAAGAAATAGGAGAGTATGGATATCACAGGATTGGGAAAGACCTCAGAAATCGTTGCCAGGGCCCTGGGGGCACTAAGAGGCCGGTAAGGAACCCCCCTGCAGTGTCCTGACAGTCATCAGTAAATGCTGTCCTAAGGTAGGATAGACAAAATATTCCTCAATCCTGGGCAATGTTTGCTTAGCCTGATCTTTAAAGAGCTTCAGTGACTGAGATTTTGCAATCTTTTCTCTCCAGTGCTTTGTTAGAGGAACAGTTAGACTCCTTTCCTCATAACTCATTCATATCTTATATTGCACAGTTCAAACTCCTTATTTCTTGTCCTATTCACCATGGACGTGGACAAGAAGGGAAAAAAAAAACCAAACAAACAAACAAAAAACCCCCCCCATAAACCTTTTTTCATTGTGCTGGACTCTTTTATGTTTGAATGTACATCACTTTGGGTTGTCCTTAAAGCTAATCAGCCCAAATTCATTTCGTCTTCCTCATCGGTCATATTTGCAAAGAAGTTCAGCGCTGAACGCCTTCACAGCAGCTCTTTTCAGCCATGTGACATGACATACTTGGACGTGGCCTTTTGAGCATCGGTTCTCCAAAAGAATAACCTCAATTTCCATCTAATGAGACCTTGCCATGAAATGCTTGTGATGCCTTTCATGAGCACACCCTGCTCTGAAGTTTCATTCTGGACTACAGGAATAGGAAACTTTGGGCTATAGCATCAGGTGCTGAATAAAGCAAAATAACTTGAAAAGACAGCAACAGTGAACGGAGTGCCTCAGCTGGACTGTACTGGTAGAGCCCCACTGTTGTCTGTGATCAGTTCACAGCAGCTGAATAGACAGACCAACAAGCTGTCATATTATTACTGAGCTCGGAGGATCAAATTGAAAAACCCGAGCAGGCTGCCTGCGGGGATCTGTTTCGACTCTTAACCTGTCGTGACCCACCGATATCAAAAGGGTTTTCCCCATGAGGAAAGAAGCAGAGCTGGAAGTCCCCTGGGTAAGGAGGGTATAGGAGCCCCAGGGCTGCCCCGCAGCCACGGCCAGCACAGGCTCAGCTGCCAACCTAGCAGACCACAGCTAGGGCTGGGCCTGTTCTTAGCAGAAAGATAAGGTTTCATGTGGGTTGGTGGTTTGTTTGGTTTTTTTAATTTGTTTTGATTTAGCATGAGGAATTTGTGGTGGCTTAGCTGAGCAGTAAGCAGTACAAGCAGGTTGATGGTACTGCCAAAATATACTCATATTGTGCATAAGGGATATAGCCAAGTTAGTCTGCGAAGGAGTTATAGCACTACAAACAGTTAAAGAAACAAACCACCCACTTGTACCAGGGATTTATTGAGCTGTGCAGTGGTAGGTAAACAGCCGTTCTGGGGCGACGGTGATGTATCACGTAGTGCATTTAAACTGCAAAGAGCCAGCATTCAGATTTTGTTCTCAGAAGAACAAGTCACACGTATTCTGGGGAAAAAGAGGGAAAGATACAAATTGTTTCTTTATGTTCTTTCTTGTTTATACTGCAGGCATTAGGGTAAAAAGATTGCATATTTTGTATAGAAGTGTTTTTGTATACTCACTCACTGATTTAAATCTAAAACGCTTCTAAGCAGTTTGTCAGACACTTCATTAATGGCTGTATAGATAACCTTTCAGTCTCTGAGCCATCTCTAAATAGGAAACAGCGTGCAGGATCCCTTTGTAAGAAATTCACCTTGGTGGTCCATTAGATGAGCCAAATAATTCAGTGCATAATAGGAGGAGATTGATTTTTCTGTGGTGTTTTTGATGGTCTCTGTTTGAAAAGAAGAATAACAGTTGCAGTCTAGGCCAAACTGTTTTTCCTTTTGAGCTGTCTCATTCTGGTTTGCTGCATTGGAGTGTTCACAAGCTGTCTGGAGGCCAGGGTGTCTCCTTAAGCCACCTAACTAAAAGTCAGAGCCTCCGTCACGAAACGTCACTAATACAGAGCCTGAGTTGTGTTAGCTTGGTTTGGCCCCAGTAAAGCAGTGTCTATAGCAAGTCAGCAGGGAAAAAAAACAGCCTAAGGTGAGATCTTACTGAATCAGGAATCCCACCTTAGGGAAATGCTCTAGCACGTAGAAGGACATGCTATAGCAAACCCAGGTATTCCTAATAGAAAGCATGGGATGAATTTTAATAATAAAAAATTGGCATTGACATGGTGGGTCACGAAGAGGCCTTTACAGAAATTTCCATTTTATTACCTAAGGATTTAAGGTGCATGGTCAGCATGGAGTCAGGGCTGCTTCCAACCCCAGAGAGAGGGATGGGATAGTACTCACATAGGCTATTATTGTACTGAAAGGCTATCTAAAACCTAAAAAACTCTTGCCATGGAAATACACCGCCCACAATCCAGCAGAATCTACTTTCTGATCTCTTCTGGAAGACTAACTTTGTAAAAAGCTCAGCTACATTGTTTGGCTGGGCAGGCTTGTCCAGCCAAAGAGCTGCAAATGCCAATGTGTTTGTGCAGCACGGAAAGCAGTGGTTTCACGTCCACTGCTATATAAAGATTCCAAACATTTCTAAAAAATCTACCCATTTTGCTATTTATGTAGTTCAGAGGCTGTGTGTGGAGCTGCACAATGCGTGTGCAAAGCCTACTTCGATTTTCTGAAAGATTATTTGATCTTTCCACGTTGTACTTCCAAGTAATCTGTAGTAGAATAGGAAAGATGCAGAAAACTTCTAATGAACTTTTTTTTTTTCCTTTTGATTCAAATTTGATAATGCAGAACCCAAACTTCAGAGTCACCTGAGCACCCAGCTTCTTTCTTCGCCTCTGCACTTGCCGTCAGTGAGGCCACTCTCTGTTAAGGTTCCAATATGTGCGATTTAAATATTCATATAAGATGTGTCCATTAAAAAATGAAAGAGAGACTTTTACGTAAATGAATTATTAACAGAGATCTCAACGTTGGTGTTGGGCTCTTCGGCTGGACAAGTAGATGTGCCAAGAAACAGGATTTTGTTTTTGATTTTGGAAACAGGCCAAGGCCCAAAAAACAGGATTTTGCAAAGGGAAAGACAAAAGAAAAGTGCTAGAGGAAAGGCATCCATTATTTCCAGAGAAATTAAAGCCTCTCAGGGAATGGCAGCACATGAGACTACGTTATGGTGGGAGTAAAGGGAAGGAAGGAAGGAAGGATGGTGGCTCCCCATGGGATAATATGGTATGTCCAAGTCACGAGGGGATATGGTACTTGGCTATCCCCAAGGAAACTGGCCTCCCAACATGTTATGCATGGAGCTTTTAGTACTACTGCTGCTCTGTACTACTGCTGCTCTGATGCCTCTCATGCCAGGTAGAAATAACATGCAGGAAAGGCTGACATGAAGAAGCATGAAGTGAGAACCAAATGGCCAAATCTTGTCCTTGGAGCAGGAGTCACATTGACTTTTATACACCATCCCATCATCCTGAACAATTGCAAAACTGTCAAATGATAAAAATCAAGCACTGCGATCCACTCACACCAAAATCCTGGCTCAGCAGAAGGCCTCTGCGCACAGCCCTGGGGACACCACCATGGGACAAAGCTCTCCCCCCAGCACAGCCACGAAAGGCTTTGAGCTCAGCCTCCGAAATTGCAAAGCGCTCGTTTTGTTGTCCGTGGATAACGCTTTAATCCACCGAGCGAAAGCTAGACGTTGCTCTCTTTTATTCTGGCTGTACACAACTGCAACGTTCAAAAAGAAAAGCCCCTCGCCCCCCCCCATACCCGCTGCTCCTCCAAACTGCTGACACCCGGACGGGCAGCCCCAAGGCGGGGCCATTGGGATTTATTTAGTTCACTGCTGCAGATGATGCCTTTAGTGCCACAAACAGCCCTGGAGACAAGTCCTAATCATCTGGGGGGGTGATTATGTTCAGTTCTTCCTCCCCAAACCACCCAGACATAATTCAGATCCAAACTGGAGAGACAGGCAGGCACGCAAGAGGGGACCCCAGCACCGCACAGCCCTCCCGAAGCCATGTACAGGAGCAGCTTCCTTCGCGAGGTGCGCAAGGAGAAGTATGAGCGGTCGGATGCCTACGATGAGCTGCGAGGCTCCCCCGAATTTGACAGTTTGGCCCAAGCCCGGGGCCTGGAGAACCTGCAGGAGCTCAACGAGCGTTTCGCCAGCTACATCAACCGGGCGCGTGTGCTGGAGCAGCGCAACACCATCCTGCGCAAGCAGCTGGAGACCTTCCAGCGCATGGACGAACTGGTCGGCTTGGACGAAGCCTTCGCCGGGCAGATTGAGTTCAACCGCCAGCGAATGCGGGAGCTGGCGTCTGACCGAGCCAAGTTGGAGCGGGAAGAGAAGGACGCCCAGCGCATGCTCGATGAGTACCGCAACAAGTAAGGCTTGCGAACGGATGAAGATAGGTGGTATCGTTTCCGTAGTTAATCTTTGTAGTATGGGTTTGGTGGTTGGGCACAACTGCTTCTCGTGCATGGGTGATGCCTCTCCGTGTGTATCAGACTTGTAGCCAGGGATGGTACGTAAGCCCATGGTGAAAAGCAAGGTGCCAGGACTTGGGGAGCTCCAGCTCTGCTTTTCGTGGTCTCACTGCTACTAGATGGGTAATTGCCTTCTCCCTTCCATGGCAGCAGGTCCTCGCCGTGGCACGTGTCGGTTGCTGTTGCTCATTTGCTATAGGAGGATTGTGCTCTGAGCTGCAAAGAGGGAATAACCCAATTAAAAAACAAATGGCTCAAAGCAAGTCTTGTGTCTGAGCCATACAGAGTTACGCGACCCCAAACATCTCCTGAAATGTGTGGGACATCTCTGAGAAACTCTTACTTATAGGCATTGTGAGGCACCTGGGCCAGTCTGTGCCAGCCACCACAGATGTGGGGTGAAAAGGAAGTAAATAAATTTTTTCCTGTTATATGAAATTTGCCTAGTTACCCTCCTCTTCTTCCTTGCATCCTGCTATTTTTATCTTATGCTACTAAAGCAATAGCTGTAAGAACAGGTTTCCCCTAACTTTTACCTTTCTTTAATTTCAGTGGCACCATAAATCAAAGAGCAGGAGCCTTGGGGGCTGAGGCATATGAGTGCCTCCAGACGCATGTGGTCCCTTCCCTTCAGCAACAGGCAGTTTTGGCCGTGTTGCTTAATTAATTACACAACGAGACTTGGTGAGCATTGCTCATAAAAGGACTGCTCACAGGAGAGAAGGGTCTTGGCTTCCTCTTACTTATGAGTCAGGTTTTTTTCCCCCCTAAATGTCTGGCTGGCTAGTACACCCAGGAAAATTTGGCGGCAGCATGGAGGCTGAAGAGGAGCTTTTCATTCTCTTCCCCACCAAAGGGTGAGGCGTGAACTCCATGTAACATGCTTTAGCTTAGAAACACTTTTCACTGACAGTGATGGGAAGGAGAAAAACAAAATGTTTTCAGCAAACACAGTCTTGGTATAAGTGCAGCCACTCCTGGGCAATGCTCACCACGCTCACCAGAAACATTTTAAATAAGGCAGAAGGTGAATCACCTGGAGCGCTGTCTTGCTACTGCAGAAGTACAAGTCCCTCAAGATTTCATCCCTTGTCTCCATCACAGACTTTTTGTCCAACCATGCCCAAACGACGTGATTTTTCTGTCTGATCCTCTACTGATTTTCCCCTTCTCTGGACTAGTAAGTGTAAGACTGATAACATTTTCCTTTTCTGTCTCTGATCATTTTTCAGCTGGAAAGAGCTAGAAAACATATGCGCAATAATTGATGTCTAGGCCATCTGTGTCTTTAGGCCACGGCCTGATGACGTATCGCTATCAGCAGCCGTACGGTCCTAATGCACCCTCATCCTGCCCTCCCCAGCCTTGCACGCTGCTCGGCACACACCGCCTGATCTGCCCTGCTGCCACAGATATTCCTGGGGCCACCCTGAGATTTGAATCAAGAAAATGAGCTGGCAAAAAAAAGTTAAAAAATAATATCTCCAACCCAGTTCAG